ATGCCTGGCCTTTGAGGCTTTCATCTTCCTTGTCATCTGCCTCAATACTGCCATGCTGGTGGCCCAGACCTTCGCTGAAGTGGAGATCCGGGGAGGTAAGAGCCGATGTTGACCTCCTGAGGCCCGAACCCGGTCCCAGGAGATGGACAGAACTCAGCTGACTGGCAGAGTCTGCAAAGCTGGCTCTGAGGTTGCTGAACTAGGAGGCTTGTTGTTTGTGGCTACAGACAATTGGCGGCGCTCCTTTTCAAGACGTCCAGGGTCCACTAGGGTGGGGCTCCTGGATGGGCAAGAGCCAAGGGCCTGGGGAGGCTGTCCCTGAGCCCCCATGGGTGGGGGTAGGGCATCAGAGGACTCGACTGCTGATCTAAGTACTTAACGTTGCCCAGAAGTAACTGCCAAGTGCATTGCTGTGGTCCCCACTTCACAGGCTAGCCAAAGGGCGCATGGATGTGGTTATGTCAAACAGGCTCTGAGGGCAAAGCCAGGGTAGCCTAGGATATCTGCAAGAGGATGAGGACTGCATAGGGAAAGGCAGGGGTGCCAGGATGGCCCCAAGCGAGCCCTTTGGTGTCCCCCACAGAGTGGCACTTCTTGCTCCTGGACTGTATTTTCCTCTCCATCTATGTGGTGGAGGCATTGCTCAAGATCATTGCGCTGGGCTTTGCATATTTTGGAGACTTCTGGAACAATCTGGGTGAGTGGAGATGGGGGAGACTGCGGATGCAGGAGGCCCGGGCCAAGGTGAGCTGGCCAGCTAAGGGCACTGGCACCTCTGCGCCCCACAGACTTCTGCATCATGATGGTGGCGGTACTGGACTTCATCCTCATGCAGATCAACTCCCTCTCCCACTCCTTCTACAATCAAAGCCTCTTCCGGATCCTCAAAGTCTTGAAGAGCATGCGCGCTCTCAGGGCCATCCGGGTCCTGCGGAGGCTCCGGTCAGCCAGTCACCACAGGGGGGCGGAGTGGGAGTGCTGGCCTGAGTCCCTCCCCTGACTTGAGGAAGCTGCTGGGACCCTCCTGGGGAGGGGTAGGAGTGGGGGGACCCTGCTAGCACGTATTTTCCAGATCAGGGCTTGGGCTCTCCCAAGTGACCACGGGGACGGGGTCATGTCCTCCATTCCCATCCACTGACCCGGTCTCCCTGTCCACCTCTGCCTGCAGCTTCTTGACCAACCTCCATGAGGTGACAGGGACCCTGGCCCGGTCCTTGCCATCCATCACAGCCATCCTCATCTTGATGTTCACCTGCCTCTGTATCCTGCGCTGGTGGGGGAGGCGGTGCAGGAGGGTAGGTAGAGGGTGAGGGGGGCCTTCGGTGCCGCAGATGGCCCTCAGCAGCCTCCAGTCCTCTTCTCTGTGGTCCTGCGCGCGCTGTTTCGCAAGTCCGACCCCAAGCGCTTCCAGAACATCTTCAGCACCATCTTCACCCTCTTCACCATGCTCACGCTGGATGACTGGTCCCTCATCTATATAGACAGTCGGGCCCAGGGTGGGTAGAGGGCAAGGGACCCAGCTGACTGGAAGGGGGAGAAGCGGGGCTCACCCTGAATCTCAGCTGTGGGGCAGAGCTCAGGATGCCTGCTGGCCCCTCCTGGTGACCCCCGTGTCCTTCCCTCCCCAGGCGCCTGGTACATCATCCCCATTCTCATGATTTACATCATCATCCAGTACTTCATCTTTCTCAAGTGAGCACCGGCTCTGCTCCCAGCCCCGGCCCCGCCCCGCCCTGCCCCGACCCAGGCCCCGCCCTGCCCCAGCCCAGGCCCCGCCCTGCCCCGGCCCAGGCCCCGCCCCGCCCTGCCCAGGCCCCGCCCCACCCTGCCCAGGCCCCGCCCCGGCCCGGCCCAGGCCCCGCCCCAGCCCAGGCCCCGCTGGGCACACTCCGCCCCTGCTCTGCAGCCTGGTGATCGCTGTGTTGGTGGATAACTTCCAGATGGCCCTGCTCAAAGGCCTGGAGAAAGTGAAGCAGGAGGTACTATCTAGGATCCATGGAGGAAGGGGTGTGTGGCTTGGACTGGTCAACAAGACCCAGGACCTCCTGTCTCTTCCCCTCCCCGCTTCAGAGAGCTGCACGGATCAAGGAGAAGCTGTTGGAAGACTCGGTGACTGAGCTCCGCCAAGCAGGTAGGGGCCCAGCCTGGCTCGGTTCCACCTGGTCTACCTGGAGTGGACCACCCTACCTCTCTTCGCTGGCCTCCCTCTCACAATGCAGCGTCCAAGCTCACTGATGTGGCAGATCTCTCTAGTGGCCCTTCCCAAACAGGTGCACCTGATGGTGAACCCCTGAAGAACAGAGATGTGAATGGCTGCTCAGTCACTAGGAGCCATGGAGACTGCAGGCAGCAAGGGTTCAATCATATGGTAGAGCCAGTTCCCCAGGCAAATTGGGAAACTTTGGCCCAGAAACACGGGAAAGGGATGCTGGATGGGCAGAGCTATTGCAGCAAGGTGAGCTCCAGCTGCTTGCACCCCTGCTGCCCCCTCTCCCTGACACCTGACCTTCTTGCCCCTCGCCCAGAGCCTGAGGAGGTAGTGAGTGAAAGCACCATGCAGAGGCAGCTCTTGGAGAAGAAGTTCGGAACCATGACGGAGAAGTGAGGAGGCGCGGGGGGAGGTGGGGATGAGGTGTGGGGGTGCCGGCCCGGGGTGGGCAGACATGCGAGCAGCGCCCCTCCCTCCCAGGCAGCGGGAGCTGCTGTTCCGGTACCTGCAGCTAGTGGCCGCTGTGGAGCAGCATCAGCTGAAGTTTCGCTCCCAGGCCACGGTCATCGATGAGATCGTGGACACAACCTTCGAGGTGCGGAGGGCAGAGGGGAGGTCGTAGGAAGGGGTCCTGGGACAGCAGGACAGCCCAGACTCAGGCACCTGTCCTCTCCCCTCCCAGGCTGGAGAAGAAGACTTCAGGAAGTGATCCTGGAGAGCCGGACCCCAGACATGGCTGTCAGTGTCCCAGGGCTGCCCGGCCAGGGACCAAGTCTTAGGAGTGATGGAATGGTGGGCCCAGCCATGCAGTCCGGTCGTCCAAACAGAGTTGGAACCCCAAGAAGCTGTGTGATTTACTGGCCAGGGCACTAAGTGGGAAGGGGGTGGTGGATGGACTCAGCATCCTGGCCATCAGCAGGGGACCAGGCCCAGCTGCTGCTGCATGGGAGGTGAGGGTGGCCAGAGAGCTGCTCTGGGGAGGATATCATGCCAGTTGGAGACATAGCACCAGCTGAAATAGTGCAGGGTCACCAGGGGCCAGTGCCCTCAGAGCCCAGGAGCCCAGGCCTGCCAGAACCTCTGGATCCAGAAAGTGTCAGCTCAACAGGGACATTACGGACCTAGAGGTCTTGGGTCATCACTGTCCTCTGTCCCCTGGGGTTAAACTAGGGAGCCCTAATGAGGGCAGTCTGGTGGAAGGCAGGAGGGGGCAGGGCTATGGGGAGGGGACCCCCAAAGTGAGGGGCTGGTGGCTGCTGCCAGCACCACCTGCACCAGGGCCTGAAGGAGCCCACCCCACTCACAGCCTTGGCTCAGCATCATGCCTGGCCAGGGATAGCCACGGGCAGGGCTTGCACTGGGTGAGGAGACCCAGCCAGCGAGTCAGGCTTCAGCCTCGGGTGGAGGGGTCTCACATGGTCTGCCCTGACCATCTCATTTGTAGTGGAGGCCAATCCAGGGGCAGGACGTAGGCCCCATGGAGACAGTCTAGACACAGGGACACTCATGACATCCCAGAGGGGACAGACATGCACACAGGAGGGGTGCTGGGCCCTGCCTGGAAGGGTGAGCAGTGGGCCTTGGGGTGCCCTCCACACCACCCTGAGCTGCCTGGCTGGGTCCCCAAGGCATCCAGTGGATGTGACCCCCATGTGGATGTGGGTGCTGGTGCGTCTCAGGAGCCCCTGGCGAGGTGGGTGGTTCTGGGGCTGCATTTGGAGTCTATATGTGCGACTCCAGGGGGTTACCTATGGGTGTTTCTGACTGTGATTTGGGGGGGGTCCTGTGTGCATGTGTGTGCGTGTCTGTGTAGTGGGTCTGTGTGTGTTTCTGTATGTGTGGTGTGTGTATGGTGTGTCTGTGTAGGTGGTAGTATGTGGTGTGTGTAGCGGGCCTGTGCATGGGGAGTGGGTCTCTGTAGGTGTAGGTGGTAGGTCTGTGTGTGATAGTAGACAGTGTGAGTGTAGGTAGGTGGTAGCTCTGTGTGCATGAGAAGTGTGTGTGTGTGGCTGCAGGTGGGGTGTGTATATGTGGTAGGTCTGTGTGTGTGTGATGGTCTGTGTGTATGACTGTGTGTGTGTAAGTGGCAGATCTGTGTGTGTGTACATGTGCTGGGTCTATTGTTATTGAAGGGTGCACTCTTGCTCCCCATGATGTGCTGAGAACGCCCAGCCTCGGAGAAGGCAGTTGGAGGGCGAACACCTGCGCCCCTCAGGGCTCCGCCTCCGCTGAGGGTTCTGTGGGTGCTGCGCTGTATGCCCCAGCAGCACCCACAGCCCTCGGTCTGGGTTCACCATGCTGTGAGTCCTCTGTAAGCAACATCCACCCTTCCCTCCCTCCTGACAGCGGACTGAGCTCACCCCGTGGGGGCCCCATCAGGCCCCTCCCAAGAGTCCCACCCAGGACCAGGTATGTGGGGGGGATGTCCTGGAGTGGCCCTGGGGGGCGATGCCATCCTGGGACTCCTGGCCCCTTAGCCCTCAGTGGCTCTGCAGGTCACAACTTGTCCTTGACCCCCTGGCAATCTGGGGCTTCCTGCGGGCTGAGAGCCCACTGCGGGCCGTCCAGCTGCTTCAGCTCCCCATGGACTCAAAGTGCTCAGATGTCCAGCCGTGGGCGGGGCTGGCGACACCCCTGTTCTGTGATTCTGGGAACGCTGGGCATCTCTGATGCAGGAGTGTTTGGGGGTTTGTAGATCTTGGGGGGGGGCTGTGTCCCCAGTCAGCCCTTGCACACGACGCAGGTACGGGGGCGTGGGAGGGCACACAGAGCACAGAAGTAACCAAGGCAGGACACTTGCTGGGGATTTATTGGGTGGAGGCTGGGGTGCCCCCGGCAGCTGCCCGCCGGGGCCTCACAGTGGCACGCAGTCTTGCTTCAGCAGCTTGGTGGAGTTCTGCCAGGGGACAACTAGGATCTCAAAGTCACAGCGCAGCCTCTGTGGAGAGAGCAGGGGCCACCGGCTTAGCCTACCCCTGCTGGCCTCACTCCTGGGGCGCAGCCACCTCCTGAAGGAGCTGGAGTCCACAGCTGCCCAAACACCACACACCCTGGGGAAGCCCCAGCCGCTGCCGCCTCCCAGCACCCCATCATTGTGGCCTGGAGGCTGAGTCAACAGAGGGCCGGACAGGTTCAGCCAGGCCTGCCCAGCCAGACCAGTTCAGGATGGCTGGACAGCCAGTACGAGGGACAGCTCTGGGCTCTGACACTGAGCTGGGTGGGGCGGAAGGGCTGTTACCTCCTCTTCTGCCCCTGCAGCAAAGGGACAGGTGGTGAGGTTCACGTTGTCTCCAGCAAGTTTGCTCTTCCTGCAGGCCGTGCTCCCCAAGTCCAGGGTTAGGTAGTACTTGATGCCTGCCACCAGCTGGGGACAGCCGCAGGTCAGGGAAGGGGGCAGCAAGCAACCCCTCCGGGGGCCCACTCGCACCTGCCTCTCCCCACCTCCCTTGCAGGGTCCAGGACACACACACACACACACACACACACACACACACACACACACACACACACACAGTGTACCCAGCTCAGCACTCAGATCTGGGGTGGGGAGGCGCTCCGGCGGGGTTGTCCAGGGGAAAAGGCAGAGGCATGGCCCATGCAGGCGCTGAGAACACCTGCCCACCCCTTGCCAACGCCAGGCAAGACAGCGCTGGGCGCTGTCCACTGCCCTCTGTCGCACCCCACTCGGGCAGAGACCAGTGTGGAAGCCAAGGGAACCAAGCGTGCTGTACGCAGTTGGAGCTTGCCTTTGCAATTTGAGTATTCTCAGAAAGGGCTTTCTCTTTTCGTGTGCCCCTCCCCCGGCACGGGTGTCCCCAGGGCCCTCCTCACCTGGCTCTCCGCCTTGATGACTTTGGTGTCACGGAAGAAGTAGGGACTGTTGTTGCCCATGTTGTAGCCGGCCACGGCTGCCTGGGCCGCCTTCTGCACCTGCGGGTCGTCGGGCGACAGGTTCTGGCGTCCCCCGGTCATGTGCTCCCGCGGCGCCGCCCAGGTGTCCTCCGGCAGCGCCAGGAGGCAGAAGGCGAGCAGGGCCAGGCCGATGGCCAGAACGAGGTTGGGACGCGCCATGGTTCTCGTTGTCAGTGCCCAGCTGGCAGTCCGCGCGCGGCTTTTACGGGCTCCAATGATGCCCCACCCGGCCCCGCCTGCCACCGCCGCCTCCGCGCGGCGCCTCCGCCGGCCAGGAGCTGGGGGGTGGGGACAGGCCGCGGGGGCGGGGGCGAGGCCCCACATCTGCGCGCACAACCTGTCCAGATTCCTGAAGTTCGGAGGGCGACCTGTCCAGGGAGGGGCAGCATCAGACCCCAGCCTCGAGTGCCACCGTGAGGGCAGCTCACAGAGGGCCATCCAGTGTCCTGGGGCACTCCTACTGCCACCCAGTCCTAGTGAGGTGACCTGGAGGGGTTACCTAACTGCCCGCTGCTTCAGTTAACTCTTCTATGAATTGGGTGTTGCAGGGGTCCAGCGTGGAAGCCTAGTGGTTAAAGTGCATCTGCTGGGATCCCATATGAGGGCCGGTTTGTATCCTGGCTGCTCCTCCTGGGAAAGCAGTCAAGGACGGCCCAAAGCCTTGGGACCCTGCACCCAAGTGGGAGACCTGGAGGAAGTTCCTGGCTTCATTGCAGCCACTTGGGGAGTGAACCAGGGGATGGAAACTCTTGGTCTCTCCTTCTCTCTGTAAATCCGATTTTCCAATAGAAGTCAATCTTTAAAAAATGGATGTTTAGGGCCCGGCACGGTGGCACAAGTGGTTAAAGGTCCTTGCCCTGCACGCCCGGGATCCCATATGGGCGCCGGTTCTAATCCCGGCAGCCCCGCTTCCCTTCCAGCTCCCTGCTTGTGGCCTGGGAAAGCAGTCGAGGACGGCCCAAAGCTTTGGGACCCTGCACCCGCGTGGGAGACCCGGAAGAGGCTCCTGGCTTCGGATCGGCATAGTATCGGCCCATTGCGCTCACTTGGGGAGTGAATCATCGGACGGAAGATCTTCCTCTCTGTCTCTCCTCTCTGTATATCCGCCTTTCCAATAAAAAAAAAAATTAAAATAAATCTTTAAAAAAAAATGATGTTTAATGTGCTTAACGTGGAGAGCCTGGAAGAGGCCTGGTGCTGAATACAAAGGGAGTGGGAGAGGACAGGCTGGGCTAGCGGCTGTTTATCGCATGGGGACTCAACCCTGCTCCCACACAACAGATCACCAGCCGGTAAACAGCAAATGGTGGCACCGGCCATCCCTGAAACCTGTGCTCCTAAGCCAAAGGGTAAGAGCTGGCATGGAGTGGGGCTCCAAACCAGCTCTGTCACCTCCTCACTTTGGACAAATGAGGAAAGGTGCCAGTCAGGACCTGACACTGTTGGGTAGGTAAAAGGTTAAGCCTCAGCCTGCGGCACCAGCAACCCACAGCTGTGCTGCTTCCTGTCCCGGCTGTTCCACTTCCCACCCAGCTCCCTGCCTGTGGCCTGGGAAAGCAGCCGAGGATGGAACAAAGCCTTGGGACCCTGCACCTGCGTGGGAGACCAGGAAGCAGCTCCTGGCTCCTGACTTTGAATCAGCTCGGCTTTGGCTGTTGTAGCATTTAGGGAACCAGGGGATGGAAGATCTTGCTCTCCCCTTTCTGTAAAGCTGTAAATCTGCCTTTCCAATGAAAATAAATCTTTCAAAAGAAGAGAAAAACAGGGCCCGGCGCGGTGGCGCAAGTGGATAAGGTCCTCGCCTTGCACGCCCGGGATCCCATATGGGCGCCGGTTCTATCCCAGCAGCCCCGCTTCCCTTCCAGCTCCCTGCCTGTGGCCTGGGAAAGTAGTCGAGGACGGCCCAAAGCTTTGGGACCCTGCACCCGCGTGGGAGACCCGGAAGAGGCTCCTGGCTTCGGACCGGCATAGCATCAGCCGTTGTGCTCACTTGGGGAGTGGATCATCAGACGGAAGATCTTCCTATCTGTATCTCCTCTCTGTATATCTGCCTTTCCAATAAACAAAATAATAAAAATAAAAAAAATAAATAAAAATAAAAAGAAGAGAAAAAACAAACAACAAGAAACAGAAAACAGCATCCCTGGGGCAGGCTTTGGCACAGCTATGTCCTATGCCCCAGTGGCCGGGTTCACATACCAGCTCTGCTCCCACTCACTCCCAGCTTTGTGCTGGTGTGCACACTGGGGGCAGAGTTGGAGGGGGGGGGGCGACAGCTGATGGCTGCAGCCCTCGGGCTCCTGTAGCTCCCAAAGACCCCAAGTTGAGCCCCCAGGTTCTGGCTTCAGCCTGGAATTTGGGGGGTTGACCTAGTACCTGGATAGTAACTCAATCTTTGCCTTCCAAATGCTTAGCATCTACTAAAACGTTTGAGAAATGGGCAAGTCCGGCTTCTGTCTGCAATTCTCTGCACTCCCAACGTTTCCCCACAGGAGCTGGCCGTGGGGTGTCTTTGGAACACAGAAACCTTGTCTGGGCTGGGTCCCTCAGGGTCTTCACTAGGGCTTGGAGGGGACTGAGCTCATCCTGCCTGATAAGCAAGAGGTGCCTAGTAAGCCACACCTGCTATTGTGACTCCTGGTGACCCTCCCCCACCCCAGTTCTGAGCTGTTCCCGAAACCTTGGGGCCCTGGCAGGAAGTGAAGTTTCCCAAGGAGATCCAGAGTCCAGCCACCTGGCCACCCTGCCCACTTCGGCCCAGCTGTGACAAACAAGCCCTGTCACCTCCCCAGGCGGGCACAGACTTGGGGCCAGCGCTGTGGCTCAGGAGGCTAATCCTCCACCTCCAAGCACCAACATTCCTTGTGGCCAGCGACGGGTCTTTCACATTGGTCCCCACTGGTCAGTTCCTGCAAGCACCCTAAGGTGACAAAGAGAAGCCAGGGCATCTGTCAGATTCACCAGTGACAGCAACTTCTTAGAATAGCAGGAGTGGGTGGGAACGAACAATGGATGGGTGCTTGCTGTGTGTCAAGGCCCACTGGCACGGGAGCTCTGCAGGAAATGGGGAGGCCCAGGGGGATCGCAGAGCGGCCCACAGCTGCACCTGCAGGCCAGCAGCATCCAGAACCACATTTCTTCTCTCTTATTGGAAAGAAGGATATACAGAGAGGAAAGACAGAGGGGAAGAGCTTCCCTCCGATGATTCACTCCCCAAGTGAGCACAACAGCCGATGCTATGCCGGTCCGAAGCCAGGAGCCTCTTCAGGGTCTCCCACATGGGTGCAGGGTCCCAAAGCTTTGGGCCGTTCTCTGCTGCTTTCCCAGGCCACAGGCAGGGAGCTGGAAGGGAAGCGGGGCTGCCGGGATTAGAACCGGCGCCCATATGGGATCCCGGGCGTGCAAGGCAAGGACTTTAACCACTTGCGCCACCGCGCCGGGCCCTCTTCTCTCTTTTTTTTTTTTTTAAAAAAAACACTTATTTATTTTTATTGGAAAGGCAAAATTTTATTATTATTATCATTTTTATTGGAAAGACAGATATACACAAAGAAGGAGAGACAGAGAGGAAGATCTTCTGTCTGCTGATTCACTTTCCAAGCGGCTACAACAACTAAAGCTGAGCCAATCCAAAGCTAGGAGCCAGGAGCTTCCTCCAGGTCTCCCACGCAGGTGCAGGGTCCCAAGGCTCTGAGCCATTCTCTACTGCTTTCCCAGGCCACAAGCAGGGAGCTGGATGGGAAGCAGGGCTGCCAGGATTATAACCAGCGCCTGTATGGGATCCCAGTGTGTTCAAGGTGAGGACTTTAGCCGCTATGCTATTGTGCTGGGCCCGGACAGGCAGATTTATAGAGAAAAGGAGACAGGAAGATCTTCCATCTGCTGGTTCACTCCCCAAATGGCCACAATGGCCAAGTGCTGGGCTGGTCTGAAGCCAGGAGCCAGGAACTGCTTCTGGGGCTCCCATGTAGGTTCAGGGTCCCAAAACTTTGAGCTATCCTCTGTTACTTTTCCAGGCCACAAGTAGGGAGCTAGAAGAGAAGTGGAGCAGCCAGGACACACACCGGCACCCATATGGGATCGTGGCGCTTGCAAGGGGAGGATTAGCCACTGAACTGACATAATGGCACTGGACCCGGGTCTGTGTTTCACCCAGGGGCAGTTTGAGGCCGGCCATGCCTGCTGCCACGGAGTACAGCCTGTGGTTTGAGGCTCAGTGTCCAACAGCTCCTAACCCTAGGATCAGGTCTTCCAGGGCCTCCTTCCTTGACCTTCTGCTGGACCAAGGACTCTCCTCGCCTTTCCTGCCATGTTCCTTCCTGGCGAGGAGCCTGTGACCCAACACTGTTGGTAGGTGCCCCCTGTGACCCAACACTGTTGGCAGGTGTCCCGAGGTGTCTGGCAGCTCTACATGCCCCGGCTGGCACCCATGGGGAACAGAAGGAGGGGACTTCTGCTCAGAGCAGAGACACTACTTGCTCAGGGTCCCGGGGCAGTGGAGGAGGAGCTGGCAGACTTCTCAAGGGTGCTGCTAGTCAAGTCTGAGAATCCTGGAAACAAAGCACCTGGAGGGGTGTGTCTCCTGTGGGGACTCCCAGCCTGCCTAGGCTCTACCTACCTACATACCTACCTACCCTCCTATCCCCTCCACCCTCCCTGCCGTCTGGGCTGGAATGCCCTGAGAGTCCATTTGGATACCAAGTCCCTTCCACATGCCCTTTGTGACTTGCTGCCCCCAGCCTGATCCAGAAGCTTGTGTGGGATGCATTCTGGGGCCTGCCCACCTACCAATAATGGTCCCAATGCCAGGCGGAAGCGTGGTCACAGGTCTCAGCATCACAGCCAAGGAGCAAGGCCATGTGGCCGACATGGGCAGCAGCCACCAGAAGGGCTTCCTGGAGGAGGTGTCTTCATAGCTTCACAGAGCCCAACAACCTGGCGGCGTCAGAGTGAGAGAGGAGTCAGACTGGGTAGTAGGCAGTTAGGGTACTCTGGGTCCCTGAGTCATCGTTATTTTCTCAAATATAAAAGGGTATTTCCTCCACCATGTCTTGGATTCACCAGAGCACATTTCTCCCAAGAGACAAGTGCATATTTTAACATACTAAGCACACGCTTCCCCACAAGACAAGGGCGCATTAACATATCAGTCCCCCACCTAAAGCACCAGCCCAGTCCCCAGAAAGGCTGGGTGACTCAC